ACACAAAAAACGCGCTGCCTCTGCTCCTCCTGAGCAGCCGTGTGTGTGTGTGTGTGTGTGTGTGTGTGTGTGTGTGTGTGTGTGGATCCCCGCCCCCAGGCCTCTTCCTTCACTCCCAGGCTCCTCCTCCATGCCTACCTCCTCAGTTCCAGTGACGCCTTCCTGGGTCCTCCAGGCCAGGGTTCAACATCTGATGGGGGGCTCAGTGACCACCACATAAGAACCAGTCCCTGCCCTCGAAGTCTCAGCCCAGTGGGCCCCAGCACACAGTAGGTGCTCAAAAGATGTTACAGAAATGAAACCAAGGGGGACTGAGGAGGACAGATGGGTCCGTGCTGAGGCAGGTGGAGGGAAGAACCGGGCCCTTCACACTAGCCTTCACAAGCTGGAAAGAAATCTGGAGCAGACAGCCAGGGGCTGCCAGCTGTGTGGCCTTACACACATCACCTGACTTCTCTGAGCCTCAGTTTACTCCTTTACAGGAGGAGATTAAACAAGATATTGCAGGAAAGAGGCCAAGTTCAGGCTTGGCGGGTGGTCAGCACGCATTGGACAGGGGCTCCCATACTGCCCTCCTGCACTGCATTTTGGGGTGTTATCGCTCCAGTCTGAGGGTAGCAGAGGGGCTCTGGGTGATGAAAAAACCCCAGGCTACAGGAGGCTCGGCTGCACCTTGGGAGCTGCCCGGGCACACGAGCTTTGCAGCCCTGAGCCACGTACCCTTTGCTGGAGTGAAGGGCACTTGGTGGAAGCTGCTGGCTCGTGGCCCTGGGCAGGCCCCTCACCCCAAGAATGTGAATCCAGGTTTGGATGGTGGCCCTGGCATCCCCATGCCTGCCTTGCTTCTGTGGCAGGGGTGGGGTGGGGTGGGGGGCTATGTCAGCCCTGCAGAGAACCAAGGGGCAGAGGTCAGCTGACCAAGGCCCAGGGTCCCGGCTTCCAGAGGCCTCCCACCGCACACAGCCTTGGGGAGGGGGAGGGCGGAGTTGTGAGCCTGTCTCCCCCTGGTTTCTAGAGATGTCTCTTCAGAGGCCAGCCTGGCTGTTACCCTGTAGGGCAATGCTGGGCCTGGCCCTCCCAAGTGATAGCCCCAAGTGGATGGCCAGGGTCCTAGCAGGCTGACCACTTCCATGCACCTTTTCCGTCCTCCTGGTGCCACAGCCGGGTTTCCCAGGACCCCTGCCACCCTGGGAAGTGGCTGCAGGAACTGAAGGCTTAGAGTCATAAACTCGCCAGGTTCCCCCAAAGCCCAGGCACAGTCTTCTGAAGCAAGAAGAGGGGGACTCGCAAATCTCACTGTCTAGGACAGCCGGCACCAGCTGCGGGGACCCTAGGTAGGTCCCTTCACCCCAGTCTCAATTTCCTCACCCATAAAATGGGGTTATTTCACCAGATGATTTCCATCTGAGAGGGCTCCTTGGGGCCTTAAGGGAGCATCTCTAGAAGAGGGTCAGAGGATGGAGCACTCAGCAGAGGGCTCCCACAGGCCATGCCCCATCTCCAGGCTCTGCTTGGGCTCCCGAGGGGACACTAGGGAAGAAACAGCTTTGGAAGCCTGGCCGTGGGTGGGCTGCCCTCTGCTGGACATTGGCGAAAGCGCCCAGTGCTGAGCACACGCAGCACACCAGGAAGGGGACGGCGAGGAGACGGACAGCCCTGGGACAGGCTGAGGGAGGAAATCGGGCTGAGTCAGACCCTGTGTTTAGACCCCAGCTCACCTGCTGTGTACCCTAGAACCAGTCGCTCCACCTCTCTGAACCTGTTTCCTCCCCTGCCAGGTTAGTATCTACCCTGGGGGTTGTGAGGGTGAGGTGAGGTTAAGGTACAGAACTGCATGCTTCCTGGCACCCGGTAAGGAATCGTGAATGCTGGTTTGCTCACCCCTTTTAAGAGTTGGGGGTCCCGGGGGAACCAGCAGTTAGCGTAATGGCTTTGTCGCTGGACTCCCGCGTAGTCGACCGCGGTTCGTGTCCCGGACCCGGTGGCTTAAAACTCACGCCGGGCACGTGTGCGTGCGTGCGTGCCCAAGATCCCGAGAGGAGAATGGAGGAGAAGGGATTGCGGCGTGGCCATCCCCCCTGGGGGGTGATTTCTCGCTTTCTGTCTCTATGTCTCTGTCTGTCTGGCGAGCGCACGCGCCCTACAGTGAAAATCTCTCAAAAAAAAAAAAAAGAAAAAAAAAAGAGTTGGGGGTCCCCAGAGCCTAGGACACCGGGTCCAGGGAAACCAAATAGAGCTCCGTCCTTAGACGACCACCTGGGCTCCCCACTCAGCACCTGCTCTTCCTGCCTGTGTGACTTCAGGCCAGTGGCTGCACCTCTCTGAGCCTGCTTCCTCCTCAGTAAAACAGGGATGGTACCTCAGGAGCATGGCCGTGCGCAGAGCTGAGTGGCTGGCGTGGCCACTCCCATGGTGGGTGGGGGACTGCTTTCTCCCTCTCCGTCCCTTATCCCTTCTTCTTTCTTTACTTTTCCTACATTTTTGCCAGAGAGTGAATGTGCTCACCAGAGACAGAGACAGAGGAGAGAGAAGAGAGAGAAAGCACCCCCGAATGGGGAACGTCACACTGCAATCCTTCCGCCTCCATTTCACCACCCTGTTGGGATTTGGGGCACCACTGCACACATGCCTGGCATACTTTTCTGGCCTCCAGGTCTGGGACTTGAACCACAGGGTCACCACGTGGGACCTGGCTGCCTTAACCACCAGACAGCAGCCCCAGATCTGCTGAATCAGCAACTGGAGTGGGACCCTGCGAGGTGGTTTTAGCCAGCTCTCCCGGAGATTCTGGGACACACCAAAGTCTGAGGACTTAGAACAGCCCTACAAAGTCACTGTCATTTTTATAAAGATTTATTTATTTAATTTTTAAACTATGAACTTGCTATCAGTCATCAGAGGAAGAGAGGGAAAGTGAGAAATTAAGCCGCCAGGTCTGGTACTCGAGCTGCAGTCAGCCACGCCGGGTCCAGTGCCCACCATAATTACACCTAGGGGAACTGAGGCACAGCGGAGGCAACTGGTGCGGGCAGGACCACAGAGCTGTAGGGGGAGTAATCAAATCCAGGCAATTTGGCTGTCCCTTGGGGACCACTGTTAAAACAAAAATAAATCATCCCGTTTAATAGAGTTTTGGGGCTGGCAGGTGTGGTGGTTGGGGGCACTGGACTCCCATATGGCGGACCGTGGTTTGAGCTCCAGACCTGGCGGCTTCATTTCTCAGTTTCCCTCTCTCTCTCTCACTCTGTCCCTCTCTGTCAAATTAAAAATAAATAAAAGTTACAGGGATTTGCCCCTTTTTTCATTTGTTTTAGTTTTGGTTGCTTTAATTTGCCAGAGGGCATATGCACTGGTTGGTGAAGGAACAGAGAAAAAAGGCAAGAAAGAAACCCCCCCCCCCCACACACACACACACAGGGGATGGCCACGCGGCAATCCCTTCTCCTCCATTCTCCTCTAGGGATCTTGGGCCCGCAGGCACACACGCCCCGTGTGAGTGTAAACCACCGGGTCTGGGACTTGAACCGCGATCGACTACATGGGAGTCCAGAGACATAACCATTATGCCAACTGCTGGTCCCTAAATAAGGTAATTCTTAAAAAAAAGAGAAATAATAGAGTTTTAATAGAGCAAATCTTAACACGATTTAAATCGGGCAGTTGTCCCCTTCTTGATAACTCCGGCCAGCCTCATGGTCAACTGGGCCTCCACTGAGTTAATATCACAACCAAAAATAAGATCGGTAATTTCTGGCCACTCACGAGTAACTCTGCCCTGAACGCCTACTGCGTGCTAGGTCAAGGGCTGGGCCGGGCTGGCTGGGCGGGGCTGGAAGGACACGATGCTCCTGGACCTGAGCTCTCGGCTCTCAGGCACCGTCCTAGATGGGTACAGGAGTCCTTGCTCTCACAGAAACCGGACTGGGGAAGCAGGAGGGGCTGGGAGCGCAGAGACCAGCACGCTGGAATCAAGCTGGGCGGCCCCTTTAAAAGGCAGAGCTTGGAAGGCGGAACTAGGGAGTGTCGCTGCCAGACGCGCCCGGAAGGCTGAAAATGTTACACCCGGAAGTACCTTTGGAGAGAGGAAGCTGGTCTGTCAGAAGCCTCGCCGCTATGGGCCGCAACAAGAAGAAAAAGCGAGGTGCCGACGACCGGAGGCCCCGGCTCGTCCTTAGCTTCGACGAGGAGAAGCGGCGGTGAGTGGCAGGCCGGGCTGCAGCCCCCGCGGGCTGCCGGGCAAGGCCACGGCCGGGACCGATCGCGCACGCTCTCTCAGAGGGCGCTTCCGGCCCCGCCCAGAGAGCTCCCCTTCGGCGCTTTCCTCCCTCGCGGAGTGGCGTCTCCGCTTCCCCTTCGCTTCCCTCTCCCGGCGCCGAGACTGGCCGGCGTCTGTGCGCGGCCCGAGAGCCGAGAGCTCAGTTCCAGGAACATCGTGTCCTTCCAGCCCGGCCCAGCCCTTGACCTAGCACACCGTATGCGCTCGGCCTCGTTGATAAACGATGAGCGAGTAAAACAAGCGCGGCTTACATTCATTCATTCGTCCTCGGACGTTTATTGGGGTCTGCAGGGTGCTAGCGAGGAGGCTGAACCTCTGAGTCTCAGCGTCCCGCCGGACGAACGGCACATGGTAGCGGGTCGCCACAAACCTGGGCGCGGGGACAGAATGGGAACGGAGCAGTCGGCAGTGGGGAGAAGGGGCTGAAACCAGATAGGAGGAGGGAAGGAAAGGCGCCCCCATGAGGACACTCCCAGGGCGGCATCAGCAGGCCCTGCAGGTGGGTTCAGGAGTCAGGTGTCCTGGTGAGGGTGGCCTTGAAAGCCCTGCTGGAATTATTTCCCTGAATAATGGGATTTGCCAGTGTAGAAGGAGCCCCCACCCGTGGTGTGTGTTCACCTCTGGCCTTGGTGGAAGCTGTGGGTTGGGGAGTATTGACCAGAAAGAGGCAGCATCTCCTTCATTTCTCTAAACCTGGGGTCTTCCCTGATCACTTCGGGCAAGTAACCTAAACCTTCTGAGCCTCAGTCCCGCCATCTGTAAAGTGGAGCTTGATCCCCGCTGTGCAGGTGGTAGTGAGGACTAAGTGAGGCGATTGGTGTCAGGCTGCGGAATGGTGCCTGGCAGGCAGTGCGGCATTAGCTGCTTTCTCTTCCTCTGTATCTCCTCCTGATCCCTCCTGCCTTTTGCCTGCTTCCTTCCTATAGGGAGTTCCTGACAGGTTTCCACAAGCGGAAGGTGGAGCGTAAGAAGGCCGCCATTGAGGAGATTAAGCAGCGATTGAAGACAGAGCAGAAGAAGCTCCGGGAAGAGGTGCAGAGGGCGAGGCCCCGAGGGAGGTCTCTTGACTCCAAGGGTACTTGTAGCGGGATGGGGCAGGAGGTGTGTGAGCAGACGCTGTGGGCCAGGGCTGGGGACCAGTTTATATAGGTGTAGACACTGTGGACCAGGCCTGGGGAAAGTAGAGGATGGGGTCTCTTCCTGATCTTGCCCCATGAGCCATGGTTTCTTCCCTTGAGGTGAGCAATGTCCCTGCCTGACATTGGGAAAAGAGGCCGCACTCACCGTGTTCCCTCCCCTTTTCGTTCCAGCGCCACCAGGAATACTTGAAGATGCTGGCGGAGAGAGAGGAGGCGCTGGGTAAGTGCCATCCTTGGCCTGGGTTTCTGTAGTACATGGTGTGGGGAAGAGGAGGGGTATGAGGGTTGCACAGAAAGTGACTTCCTTAGCTCTAGGCACTGTAGAGGGATGAACACCGAGGGACACTTCATATATGTGCACACACAGTTACAGTGCACAAGTAGATCGGGAACCAGGAGACCCAAGGCCCGTGGTAAACTGAGCCTGAGCAGAGAGCCCCATTTCCGAGGACCAAGGGAGCTGGGAGAGGGAGACTGCAACATCTCCTGGTGTCGCGGGGTGTGTTTGAAGTGGGGACAATCTGGGGCACAAAGGAGTGGATCGTTTGTAACACTGGCCTGCAGGCCAGACTCAGGAGCCAGCTACTTCTAGATTCTGTTCCCTAGAGTAGAGGGGCTGTTGCACTCGGGGCTGGAGGGAAGCGGGAGCCTGGTTGCTTGTTCCGGGACTGAGGCCTGGTCTGTGCCCACCTACTCAGAGGAGGCAGACGAGCTGGACCGGCTGGTGACAGCAAAGACAGAGTCGGTACAGTATGACCACCCCAACCACACAGTCACCGTGACCACCATCAGTGACCTGGACCTCTCTGGGGCCAGGCTGCTTGGACTGCCCCCGCCTGAGGTGAGTCCCTGTCCCAACCCTGGGGAAGAAGGGGCACAGGGCAGGTTACTGAGTAAGTGTGGCCTGTGTCGTAGGTACCGCAGGGCAGGGGCTCTTTTCCTCAGGCTCCTCAGGCCTGGGCTCCTGGGGGCTACAGAGACCAGACCTTCTGTGATTGGCTGAAGGATCCTGGGCAGGGTCTTTGCCTCACCTGCTTCTCCTTCTTCCTTAGTAAACAAGGGCTGGTTGATAGTAACCCCATCCTCTGGGATTGCTGGGAAAATAAAAGGAGTTGATCTCACTGGCACATGTCTGCAGTACCAGATACCCAGGGGGTGGATGCAAGAGGATCGAGAGTTCCAGGTCAGCCTGGGCATCATAGAACATAGCAAGACCCTGATTTTTTTGGAGAGATTTTTGCTATAGAACACATGGGCTTGCCAGAGAGACAGAGAGCAAGAAATCACCCCCCAGGGAGGATGGCCTTGCCACAATCCTTTCTCCATTTTCCTCCCAGGATTTTGAGCACACGTGCATACATGCCTGGCTTCAGTTTTAAGCCTCTAGGTCTTGGAATCGAACCATGCTCCCCTACATGGGAGTCCAGCGATGTAACCATTATGTTGGTCCCAAGACGTTGACCCTTTAAAAAAAAGATGGTTAATTCCAATGAATCACTTGGTACAGAGCCCAGCCCATAGTACGTGCTCAATGACAGGAAGCCGTTTATCAGGATCGTCCCCTTGCATGATCGTGATTAGCATAACATGGCACATCCGGGCACTGACAGGAGTTTCCGAGTATGGGATTGAGTAGGCAGAGTAGATGGTTTTCAGATATGAGTCTTCAGTCGGTTGTAATCAGCATCGAAACAGAAACTAAGTAACCTAGACGTGGTACGCAGCGGGGTGTGCACACGTGCTCACTGTGCCATTTCGTTTAAGATTTAAGCATCCACAGATTTTGGTAGCCACACGGGACCTTGGGTTAGGGGGTCCTGGGCCCAGCGCCCCAGATACAGAAGGATGACTGCATGTACGTCCACGGTTACAATGTAAGACACGCTTCCTCTCGTGGGTTACAGCGCCCTGAAGGTTGGAAGTCATGGCCTCAGTACCTCTTTGCTGGTCTCGCTCTTTTTCTCTCTCCCCCCCTCCCTGCCCCCTCCCATTTTTAAATTTGCCAGAGAGCATGTGCACTCTGAAGAGAGACAGAGAAAGAGAGCAAGAGATAAAGTACAAAAGCACCCCCATGGGGAATGGTCACACCCCAGTCCTTCCTCCTGTTTCTCCCTCCTTTTGGAACTTTGGGCACACGTGCACGCGCACACACACACACCTGGCATGTTTCTCAAGTTGCTGGGTCTAAGACTCAAACCGCATCCTCAGTCATGTGGGATCCAGCTGCCTTAACACCACACCACAGGCCGGCCCCGTCCTGATTGAGTCACGCTTCTCTTCCCTTTTTTTCCTTTTTATTTATTTATTTTTGCCATAGAGCACATATACCTGTTGTTGTTTTGAAGCCACCCGGTCTGGGACTCAAACAGCAGAGTTGGCCATGTGGAATCCAGTGCCTTAACCACCACGCCACCTGCTGGCCCAGATTTTATGTACATCCTTCTGTAAGATCTGATGCAAAGACAGGTCTTGTCCCGATTTTGCCAATTTTTCACCCCTGAAGGTTTGAATATCTGCTGTAAGCTACTGGTATGAGGCAGTAGAGGGTCTGGAACATGACTCCCCTGTGTAATCCCTACTGTGGGGCGGGTGCACTGCTCTTCTGCCCAGGCCTTCTCCAAGCCCAGCCCAGGCCTCCTGATCTGCTCTCCGTAACAGTTCTTGTCCTGTGCTTCTTTAGCAAGGGGCTGGGAACGGGTCCGAGGAGGAGGCGTCATCCATGGAGAAAGCAACCAGAGCCTTACCCAGGAAGTCCAGAGACCCCCTGCTCTCTCAGCGGTGAGCCCTGGCCTGTGATCTGTAGTCTCGCTCTTCATGGCTGGCATTGGTGACCAGGCCTGTAGAGCCACCCCCTGCCTTGCCTGTCCAGAGCCCTCAGCTCCTGCATTGCCCCTTAGCCAGCCCCTCTAAGTCTCTGGCTCCCGGTGCTCTCAGTGCCAGGGTTAGGAGCTTTTCTCTCTGTGAGTTGAATTGCTGCCACACTGTGGGTGAGAGCAGTCCGATGGTGGGATGAACCTGGTGCTCCTGGGCTTCAGGGCCTACCTGACTTCCCTCCATAAACCAGGTGCCCAAGCCTTACTCCCCAAGCTTGGTAAATGAGCCCCTGGCCTCATGGCTCCCACCTTTCCACAGGATCTCCACCCTCACAGCATCCCTGCATGCACACAGCCGCAAAAAGGCCAAGAGGAAACCTCCCCGGCGGGCCCAGGACTATACCAGGAAGGCCCCGAGTGCCACTCGGACCAGCAAGACCCAGCGCCGCCGACTGACCGGCAGAGCCCAGCACAGTGGAGATTGAGACCTGCAGGCCAGGCAGGGCCCCAGCATGGGCTGCAGGGACCTGTTCTGCTTCTGTGCGGTTGGCCCTGTAACCCCGCCTATACCAAGGGGAAGACTGCCCGGCTCCAGGCGGGGGAGCCAGCAGCTTCATCGCCTGGGGCCTCCCTGTCTAAGGACTGCCCAGGAGGACGGTCTCAGATCTGTGAAGCATCAGATTGTGTGTTCGCAGTGTGTCTAGTCTCTGGCCTTGATGCTGTGCATGGAGGGCAGGCTTCTGGGATGGTAAAATGGTCCAGGGTAGTGTGTCTCTCTCCAGTCTCTTAACAGGTTTCCTGGCAGCATTGGGTCAGGGTCCCCAGCCAGGGTTGAAGACCAGTGTATTCCTGGGTAGAACCCAGAGCCCACCTGTAGTTCCGGGAGGCAGGCAGCCGAGGCAGGGTACATGAACTGAGCCAGCTCTGCCTGTAAGTGCTGAGACTTGGCCTGCCCCTCGCCCTGGGCCTCATCAGTCTCCTCAGCTGAAATTGAAGAGCTGAAATGCAGCTGAGTCCTGAAACAGTCCCAGCCCCGCCTCGAACAGCTTCCCTGGGCGTCCAGCATAGAGCAGTTGGTCCTCATTTAGGAAAATGCATCTGAGCTTGCAGGAGAGAGTGGCCCCTTCAGAGCTGACCCCACGAGGCCAGCTGGGGTTCCACAGGGTCTGCTGTGTCTTCACACTCCCAGATAGACCTTCAGCCTGGCCTCTGAGCTGCAGAAAACCAGCCTTGGCCCCTTGGTCGCAGCTTGTGAGTGGTGGGATGGAGCACAGTAGTTTCGGGGTGTGCCCTGGTTAGGGGAGCTGTGTTGGGACAGCAGAAGGAAGTAAGTTGTGTCCTCAACTCACGTCAGCACCAGCAAGAGAGCTGGGGCCGTAGGACAGTGGACATGGTGGGAGAGGGTGCAGGCTCACCTATCCAGGTCAGGCTCCCCCAACTCCACAGAGGGTCAGCCTGGAATGGTGACTCAGGCTGTGCCTAACTGGACAGCCTCTTCCAAGTTGTCAGAACCCATCATCTGGCGTCTGATGGTGGTTGGTGTGAGCTCAGGGCTTATGGCAAGGAGTCCCCTTGACCCCTTCCACCTGCCAAGCCTGCTTCCTTCCCACTGCCCTCTGGTGCTGAGGGTGGGGCTCCCTCCCCATCTGGGCTGAGTGGTGCAGGCTATGAGGCTCTCCAGGGGGTTTGGTTCTCAGCCCAGGGCCGCACCTGTGGGCCTTACCCTTAAGACATGTTTTGTCAAAACACTGACCTGCAGCTGCCCCGATGTTGGAGAAACATGCATAAACCACTTCCCGAAACACCTGGCACTGTCGGAGGGCAGCACTGCAGTGTTCACCACTATGGCCTCTGCTGAGACGTTGGACCCCATGTCCTCTCATCATCTACAACTGCCATTTACAATTTATGTCTCCGGGTATTAAATTCTCATCCACACCTGCTATGTGTGCCATCAATTCTCCAGCAAACCTGGGAAACAATCAGTGATTGGGCCAGTCCTAGGATTGGGTGGGTGGGATCAGGCCTCTCCCAAGAACTTATCTCTCCTGTTTTCCAAGCCTGGAGCCCTTCCTGTGACCCTCCATCCTGTGGTCCCAAGTTGGGCCTCCAGGAGCATTATCAAGGGGCCAGTAGGTGGCGCAGTGGTTAAGGTGCTGGACTCCCACGTGGCAAACAGCAGTTCAAGACTCAGACCTAGAGGCTCATTTTCTCACTTTATCACTCTGTTGAGTGTGCATACCCTGTGTAATGATAAAATTTTTCTTAAGATCTCACTGGGTGAGACAGCAGATAGTATGGTGAAGGTGGCTGGGTTTCTGTGACACTGGGATAATATGTGTGTGTTCAAAAATCCCTAGAGGAGAATGGAGAAGATAGCCACTCTGGGAGTGATCTCTCACTTTCTCACTCGTCTCTTCAGCAAGCACACATGCCCTGTGGCCAAAAAAAAAAGTTTAATTGTATGTCATGAAGTGAAATAGAAAAAATAACTTGCAGATCAACTCCATCGCTTAGTGGTTAAGGTAGCTAGATCCCACTTGCCAACCAAGCTTGCAGAACACACAGGGCACGTTTGCACGTGTTTGTCCAAAATGCCAGCAGCCTGGAGAGAAGAGGTTGTGTGTGAGCAAGCCCTGCTGAGGGGTTCTTTCTCCTGTGTTAAGTGCATGCATCCGCTGACAATTAAAAAGGAAGATACGGCATGGCTGGCTGCAGGATTTAAGTCCCAAACCCAGTGGCTGGAGAAAACACTAGGTGTATATGCATGCGTGCCCCAAATCCTTAAAGGAGAGATGGAGAAGGGGTCGTGTCGTGACCATTCCCCACAGTGCTTTCTTTCTGTCCCACACCCACCTGTGAGTGCACACACCCTCTGACAATTCTTTGGGGGCCAGCAGGTGGCAGTGGTTAAAGGTGTTGGATTCCTACGTAGTTGGCAGTGTTTTGACCGTGTGGCTTGGAAGTCACAGTGGACATGGGCATGCATGCCCCAAATCTCAAGAGATTGGAAAAGGGATTGCCATGAGGCCATACGCCTGGGAAGTGCTTTCTCACTTTCCTTCTGTCTGGTGCATGCATGCACCCTTTGGCAAAAATCTTAGAAATTATTGGGACTGTCAGGTGGTGTGTTTAAAGGTGCTGGACTCCCACATGGGTGACTGCAATTTGAGTCCCGGACCTGGTGGCTCCCTTTCTCACTTTTCCTCCATCTCTGTGTCTCTCTCTGATCAAACTGGAAAAATAACAAAGTTAAAAATTAAATCTTTAAAAAAAAAAAATCTGGCCCGGGACCAGTAGTTGGCATAATGGCTACGTTGCTGAACTCCCATGTAGTAAACCGTGGTTCGAGTCCCAGACCCGGTGGCTTAAGCTCACACTGGGCATGTTGTGTGTGTGCCCAAGATCCCAAGGAGAAGGGATTGCAGCGTGGCCATCCCCCCTGGGGAGTGATTTCTTGCTTTCTGTTTCTCTGTCTCTCTGGCAAGCACACGCGCAAAACTTCTCAAAAAAAAAAAAAAATACTGGCTTACATAAGAGAACTCTCGTGTTAAAAAGGATGGAAGGCGGGGCTGACAGGTGGTGTGGTGATCAGGTGCTGGACTCCCACAGGGCTGACTAGTTCGAGTCCCAGATCTGGTGGCTTACTCTCTCACTTTTTCTCCTGGTGAGCTGATGTGCTCTGTAATAATTCTTTAAAAAGAAAAAAACAGATGAGAGGCAGGTGCTAACACGGTGGTAAAATGAGATGCCCCATGTAGCTGACCCCCAGGGCGAGGCTCTGGGTTCACATCGAGGGACCCTGCTGATGAGGCCGGGGGTGAATTGTGGTGCTGAGACCCTATTTGGGGTGTGTCCTGTGTCTTTCTCGTCATGGAAGAAATAAAGAATTTCATATACACAGGTAGTTACCAGCCTAGAGCCAGGAAGACGAGGGCTGGGGTGGCAGGCTTTAACCTTTTGTGCTGTTTACAACACATAACTTCTACCTCACGGTTCAAGATGGCTGCTTGAGCTGCAGCCATCCTGCCGCATTTCAGCCAGGTGGAAGGGATGAGGAACATGCTCTCCTGGGGCTGGCAGGTGGAGTGGTGGTTAAGAGCGCTGGACTCCCACATGGCTGACTGATTCAAGTCCCGGACCTGGCGGCTTGCTTTGTCACTTTCCCTCTCTCTTGCTCTCTCTCACTCTGTCTCTCTCTGGTCAAATTAAAATAAATACATGAGGGACCAGCAGTTAGCGTAATGGAATGTCGCTGGACTCCCATGTAATCGACCGTGGTTTGAGTCCTGGACCCGGTGGCTTAAAACTCACGCCGGGTGCGTGTGTGTGCGTGCCCAAGATCCCGAGAGGAGAATGGAGGAGAAGGGATTGCGGCGTGGCTATCCCCCCTGGGGGGTAATTTCTCACTTTCTGTCTCTCTGTGTCTGTCTGTCTGACAAGTGCACACACCCTACAGCAAAAATCTCTCAAAAAAATAAATAAAAGTAAATACATGAATAAATAAAGTTAAATAAAATATTACTTTTTAAAAAATAACATGCCTTCTTTTTATTATTATTTTTAAAAATAATTTTATTTTTATTTATTATTGTTTTTAATTTGCTGTCGGGCACATGTTCTCACAAGAGAGAGAAAGAGAAAGTGAGAAAGTCAGCAGGCCCAGGACTCAAACCACTGTTGGCCATGTGGGAATCCAGCACCTTAGCCACCACACCACCCGTTGACCTCAATAGCCCTTTTTTTTTTTGAAGAAGAAGTTTTTGCTATAGGGCACATGCACTCGCCAGACAGACAGAGAGAGACAGAGAGACAGAAAGTGAGAAATCACCCCCGGGGGGGACATGCCACAATCCCTTCTCCTCCATTCTCCTCTCAGGATCTTGGGCACACACGCACACGCGCCTGGTGTGAGTTTAAGCCACCAGGTCCGGGACACGAACTGTAGTAGACTACATGCGAGTCCAGCGACATAGCCATTATGCCAACTGCTGGTCCCCCCAATAGCCCTTTTAAAAACTCTTGCTATATCCTGTTGGCCCTACAGGGGACAAAGGTGTGGGGCAGGAGAAAGAGGACGCTTGTTTGTCCTGGGAGATCCAGGGTCCACATGAGCGCTGGGGATGGCATTAGCAGGGCAGGGAGTGGGTGCTGGGTATAGCCAGCCGCGTCCTCCATAAAGCCAGATACCTGAAGGGGCCCGACTGGGAGCAGCTGAGGCTTCAGGAGACATTTACCCATCCTGTGCTCACACTCACTGTATACCAGTCATTATTCACGACAGAGCACGTGCGTGTGCAAGTGAGAGTGAGAGTGAGTGGAGGGAGAGACCAGCCTCTTCCACAGGGTCTGGGCGCACTGCGATCCCCTTCCTCCAGCCCATCAGATCCTGGGCACTCAGGTGTCTGCGGGCTCGTTGACCTGGCTGGGGATTTGAACCTCAGTCACCCTGTGGGATCCAGGTTCTCTTAGCAGCACATCACTGCTGCACCACGGAGCCAGCCCCCAATCACCCTTCCATGGCTCAGCTTGCAGACTCGCAGTCTTCCCACAGGCATGCAGCTCCGGTAAGCCCATCTTGCCAGCGAGGCATGCCGAGATGGCCCCCTCAGGAGTGAGACACTGTCTTAGCTGAGTTCTGACTACTCACTGCCTCTCAGTTGGGGTTGGGAGTGGATGCAGGCACACCCCCAGAAAGGACCCAGAAGACAGAGTGTCCAGGTTATGGGTTCTTTACCAGGGAAAGGATCCACACCCTAGATAACAAGCTTGAAGCTCACAGTCTGGCGAAACCAGCCCAAGGAAATCAAAGTCAAGATCCAGAGTCTCGCCTGCAGAGGGCGCCGTTCTCGTGGTCCACAGGTAAAAGACGCCTCACAAGAGGCAAGTCTTGGGGGCAAGGTCCCAGCACAGTGAACCTTTCTTTTTCTTTCTCTTTCTTTCTTTTTTTTTTT